CCATGGTGCCATACCAGGACTCCCTTGAAAAGCATTTATATTGACTCAGTTGTTCCCCTCTTTAGTATCCATTTGAGCAAGACTGACATTTTATTTGATTTTGTCAGTATCCATGTTTCTTAATGCTATGCTCCCTTGGTCTTCCTTTGGAAGGGTTTGTATCCCAAAGTTCTATGTCAAAAATCATGTTCAGCTCTCATTTAATCTGGCGTGCAGAACTGAGGAGGAGTGTCCTGCCCCTGATCATGAGTTATCTGACTGAATAGAGGGAACGGAGTCCTACTGAGATGCTGTAGGATAAGCACTAGATCACACGTTCACTTTTAACCATAAGCCCGGGGACTCAAAGGCACCAGCCACTCCTCAGAAATCTTCTACAAAGTCCCTGTGAATCAGAACCAACTTGAATGATACTTAACAACAATCTGACAACATAGTGGAAAAAGATTTACGTCAGAACATTGAGAGAAGTCTGAGGCAGTAAGCAGGCAGGGAAGGGGAGGTGCTCACCTTGGTTAAGCAGAAAAGAGTGTTGTTGTTAGGTGCCATCGAGTCTGTACCGACTCATAGTGACCCTATACACAACAGAACAAAACCCTCCCTGGTCCTGGGTCAACCTCATAATCATTGTTAAGTTTGAGCCCATCACTAATGCTATTGTGCCAAGCCCATCACTAATGCTATTGTGCCAAGCCATCTCATTGGGGATCTTCCTCTTTTTCTCTGACCAACCCTCCACTTTACCACACTTTACCAAACCTTCTCTAATAACTGGTCCCTCCTAATAATATGTCCAGAGTATGAGAGTTGAAGTTTTACCATCCTGTCTTCCAAGGAGCGTTCTGACTGTACTTCTTCCAACAGAGATCTGTTTGTTCTTTTGGCAGTTAATGGTACTTTAAGTATTCTCCTCCAGCACAATTCAAATACATGAATTCTCTTCTGTGGTCTTCCTTATTCACTGTCCAACTTTCACATGCATATGAGGTTATTGAAAATACCATGGCTTGGGTCAGGTGCACTTTTGTCCTCAAGCTGACATCTTTGCTCTTCTACATTTTAAAGAGGTCTTGTGCAGCAGATTTGCCTAAAGACATATGTCATTTGATGTCTTGACTGTTGCTTCCATGAGTGTTGATGGTTGATCTGAGCAAAAATGAAGTCTTTGACAACTTCAATCTTTTCTCCATTTACCATGCTGTTGTTCATTGGTCCAGTGGTGAGCATTTTTGTTTTCTTTACATTGATTTGCAACCCATACCGAAAGTTAAAGCAGAAAAGATTAGAAGACAGAAATTCCAGGTCACGTTTGATAACTAAGGCGTAGACAGACTGGAACCAAAAGAGGTGTTCTCTGGGAAGGAGTGAGGCAAAAGTTTACTTGCAGGTTACCCTGGGCCAATTGGGAGCACCTGGATGTTCTAAGGATGGTAGTGCGAATAGCCAGGGAATTAGTTTTGAATCTGCCACGCATGCACACAAAGAACACTTCCTGTGCCCTGTCCTGTTGCTGATGTCAGAGCCCACGATGAAGTTTCCAGTAACCTTAGCTGTGCCATTCTGGAGCCTAGGTGGAATCTTAGTACAATTCAGGGCTGAGATGAAATGACCTAGAGAGGTTTGCTTGCCTCTAAAAAAAATTTTTTTTAATTGAAAGTGGAAAATGTAAAGTGTTGGAAATGAGTTTGAGTCTTTCTCTCATTAGAGAAGTCCTCATGTGTCTAATCTTGAGCCAACAGCAGTCATTACGTTGTGTCTACTGTGCTCTGGGAGACCTGGTGTAGCGCTGTATGTTCATGCGCTGAACTGTAAGGTCAGTTTGAACCTCAAGGTTACCAGCCATTTCTTGGAGATCCTATATAAAGTTGTTATGAGTCAGAACCAATTTGACGGCACTTAACAACAACACTGAGCTCCAAGTGCTTTTCTAAGTGGGTCCCATGTATTAAATTGTATAAACCACATTACCACTCTAAGTATTCAATTTTACAAATAACAAAACTAAAGCACTTGAATATTATATATGCTGCCCAAGGAACTTCTATGAAGTGGAGCCTAGCTTGACTCTAGATCCCTGTGTCTCTGACCATTACAGTGACATTTCCTACAGCTTCTGCAGTCTGGTACAGTGTAAATTCTCCTTAGTGTCTGGCATGCTATGTCTAATATCCCTACTTTCCTTAGCCATTGGAATTGTGTATCACTTTGGTGTTTTTGTGAGTACTCCAATGAGGAGAATAAGTCTGGCCTTACTTGCAACTATTCTCTTAACTCAGATCCATATAAACTCGATCTTAATGGTTATGTTCATTTTACGACTGAGAAAATCGAAGCTCAGAATTGTTAGGAAACCTCTGCCCAAACACAGAGGTAGTGATGGCAAGGAGGAGAACTTTTGTCCCCACCACGTTTTTCAGGTAACCCAACTAAAGAACTGCTGAAATAAAAGTTCCATCTGTCTTGCTTAACTTGCCTCCAAAGACACATGCATCCTCAAATGCCATGGGGCAAGATTCAGAGTGATTTTATTTAGACTGTGTGATTTCTTATTCCTCAGGAAACAGAATGCAGACCTTAAATGAGGGTTTTCTCAAATTAGGCTGGGTGAAAAAAATGTCTTTTTAAGCTTGTTTACTTGACATCGGTATTGGCTTCTTAAGGACTGCCATAGTATAATACCACAAACCAGGTGGCTTTAAAGAACACACTTTCGTTCTCTCACCATTCTGGAAGCTAAAAGTCTACATCAGAGTATCAGCTATGGGGATCCCTGCGAAGGGCTCTGAGCTCTCTCCTTGCATCTGGCTGTTGTTAGGTGCCACAGATTTAGTATCGACTTATAGCGACCCTTTGCATAACAGAACGAAACACTGCCCGGCTCTGCACCAACATCACAGTCGTTGCTACGTTTGAACCCATCCTGATGTCACTGTGCCAAGCCATCTCTTTGAGGGGCTTCCTCTTCCTCTCTGACCCTCTACTTTACCAAACATGGTATCCTTCTCCAGGGACTGGTCTCTCCTGATGATATGTCCAAACTATAATAGATGAAGTCTCACCAACCTGGCTTCCAAGGCATATTCTGACTGTACTTATTCTAACACAGAGTGGTTGGCTCTTCTCGAAGTCCTTGGTAGTTTTGATATTCTTTTCCAACACATTAACTCAAATGCATGGTTTTCCTTTTTCACATGCATATGAGGTTAATGAAAATACCATAGCTTGGGTCAGGTGCACCTCAAACTGACATCTTTGCGCATCAACACTTTAAAGAGGTCTTGTGCAGCAGATTTACCTAATGCAATATGGCATTTGATTTCTTGACTGCCGCTTCCGTGAGTGTTAGTGGTTGATCTGACCAAAATGAAGTCTTTGACAACTTCAGTCTTTTCTCCATTTATATGTATACTGTTGATTGGTCCAGTGGTGAGGATTTTTGTTTTCTTTACATTGAGGTGCAAATCATAATAAAAGTTGTGGTCTTTGATCTTCATCAATAAGCATTTTAAGTCCTCTTTGCTTTCATCAATAAGGTTGTATCATCTGCATATCGCAGGTTGTTAATTAATGAGTCTTTCTCCAATCCTGATGCCATGTTTTTCTTCGTATAACGCAGCTTCTGGAATTATGTGCTCCGCATAGAGGTTGAATAAGTATGGTGAAAGAACACAACCCTGATTCACACCTTTCCTAATTTTAAACCATTCCATGTTCCCTTGTTTTGTTTGATCAACTGCCTCTTGGTCTATGTGCAGCTTCCTGATGAGCACAATTAAGTGTTCCGGAATTCTCCCTCTCTGCAATGTTGTCCATAGCTTATCATGATGCACACAATTGAAAATCTTAGCATAGTCAATAAAGCAAAGGTAAACATCTTTCTGGTATTCTCTGCTTTCAGCCAAGCTCCATCTGGCATAAGCAATGATATCCCTCATTCCACATCCTCTTCTGAATCCAGCTTGGACCTCTGGGAGTTCTCTGTCAGTGTATGCTTGCAGCCATTTTTAAATACCTTTTAGTTCCAGGTATTTCTTGCAGCTGTCTTCTCATCTTTGTCTCCGTTTATCTTCTAATGTCACTAATCACATAGGATTAGGGCCCACCACCCAAATGATTGGTGGTGGTGGTGGCCACTGAGTCACTTCTGACACAGTGGGTCTCCAGGTGTGCAGAGGAGAACTGCTCCACAGCATTTTCAAAGTTGTGACCTTTCAGAAGCAGGTGCCAAGGCTGTCTTCCCAGGTGCCTCTGGGTGGTGGGTTCAAACCACCATGCTTCCCGCTAGTAGCTAGTAGTGGGGAGCTTAACTGTTTGTATCTAAGAACTCTTTAGCCTACTGATAACATCTTCACCGATAGCCTACTGATAACATCTTCACCGAATCTCTTACCAAACAAGGTCTACTTCACAGGTACCTGTGGCACCCCGCCAGTCTGGAGTGACACATGAGGATGCACATGGCTCCAAGGAACTCCAGTGACTGTCTCGGAGTCCATGCACAGTTTTGTTGAGTGCCCAATGCCCAGTGCACTACCAAACTCAATCATGATTTCTTGACCATAGCTCATATGCTAATGACCTAAATGTATTAAAAATAACTTTGTCAGACTATTGAATGAAGGCAAATGAGGCTGAACTTCACTTCTAGAAATGTCATGAGAATTGCATGGTGTATACATGAACAATACTGTGCCAGAATTCTTTAAACACAATTTCACCATTTCTGTTCATATATGTATACGTGTTACTTATGTGAGCACTGTATCGGTGAAACAATCCAGTAAAAGGAAGGCTCTCATGGTAGAGCCAAGCAGGCGAGAAAAGAATGGAATAATTGGAGGCTGCTGTCTTTCCACTTCCCACATAAAATTATTTGAAGAGACAGGCCAGAGCTTACTTTATAACAGAGAGACCAAGAAAAGTTGTAATTTGATCGTCCACTGTTGTGACGTTAAGGATGTTTGCTTAAAAAGCTTCATTTTCCCGCTCTCTCTTCGCAGACATATTTCAATGACAATATCCTTACCTTGATACGGACTTTGGTGACTGGAGGAGCCACACCTGAGCTCGAGGCTTTGATTGCTGAGGAGAATGCACTTCGAGGGGGCTACAGCACCCCCCAGACACTGGCCAACAGGGACCGTTGCCGCGTGGCCCAGTTAGCCCTGTTGGACGGTCCCTTTGCTGACTTAGGGGTGAGTTCATGGTCCAAGGTCATTTGAGACTACTGACTGGATCCAGCTTCAGGTCAAATGGTGACAAGTTGGGCATCTGACTTCTATCTGGGAATGTAAACTATAATGAGGTGTCATTTGTGGTAGCTGACTGTGCATTTGTCATTGTGCTTTACATGTGGTCATTTTAATTCTCTTAATAACTCTATGACATAGGACCCATTACTAGATATTCTAATGTCTGTGGGCTTCAATCATTCTTTGGTGGTCCTCTCTGATGCCTTCTACCATGAGATGGCTCACAACAGCTAATCCCAAGGTACAGCCCAGTTGAGAACCATTTCCAAAGTTTCTGGCATATCTAAGTCCTGGTGTGCACTGTAGGGTTATGTACTGGACCTCAAGGTCTGTTTGTACAGCAAGGTCAGTGGTTCAGTGGTTCAAATTCACCATCCGCTCCTTGGACACCCTATACAGGGTCGCTATGAGTTGGAACTGACTTGGTGGTGCTTAACAACAACAACAAGAAGAAATACTCAGAGAGCTATGCTGGTGTAAACCATTCAGGCACTCAGCTGCTACATGAAAGGTGGGAGGTTTGAGTTCACCTAGAGATTGGAAGATAGGGCCAGCGATGTACTTCCAAAACCAAACCAATCAGCCCCTGAAGGCCCTATGGTGTCCAGACCTACTCTAACACCCATGGGGATGCCAGACACTGAGTTTGGCCTAAAAGAAATCATGTGGACTTTTAAAAAACCACTGATATGCAACTCTAGCTCAGCAGCTGGATTTTGTTCTGGATCTAGGCATGATTCAGGCATCTAGATGTAATCATATACTTCCAGAACTTCTAGTCAAACCAACCAAGTCTCATGTGGGTCCTTGACTATCTTTAACTCCAAACCTACATCTTCTAATTTCTCAGACTGGTCTCAGTGGTCCCATCTCGTGGCCATCCTTCCTGTGACAGACAGTACAGGTCAGCACTTCCCTTAGGGTCCTGTGCACCAACTGGATTCCAGGTTCATTGGCAGAAATATGTAGTTTTGCCATATTCCCAGCCCAGGCTATATTGAATAGATGGAGCCATAAATCTTAGGGACCCAAAACTCTATTTTGCCAGCAATACTGTCCCCCAGGAAGTCCAATTAGGCAAGGGTCAGCTTGTCCATTTCCTCTGAAACACGGATGATACTGACTCGCCCCATGTTTTAATTTGGTTTTAGGCAGGAACCTAGGTCTAATTTTGTCAGCTTCTATACTAGTACCTCTGTTTATCTGTCATTTGCTTATGAATGCACGGTGAAGGGATAAAGACTTTATATCATGGTAAGATTTGATTCTATTTGGGTTCTCTAATATAGTGCCCACATGGAAATGCCAACTGTAGGAAGAACAAATACAGTCACTTTTTTTTTTGTTTTTTTTTTTTTGCCAGGGTTGTCATTCTTCAATACCCTATCTCCAATAATGCCTACGTGAAGTCCCCAGATGGTATGAAGCCAGTGTTTCCAAGTGAATGAATCTGCCTTCATGTACCACATCAGGCCCAAACCCTTGGAAAGTGGTTGTGAAGTGATTAGAGCTGTGATTCCTAGTTATTCAGCCCATAGACCTCCAGCTCCTGGGACCACACTTTCTCTTCCACACTTGCAGTCTCTGAGCTCTGTAAATTGTGCTTTTCACACAGTTCTTACCTGAGAGATTCTGTCAACATCATTCCTAGTAGTGTCTTTTCTCCCAGAAGTGTTTTTAATTATCACTTGGGCAATTTTGACAAGGTGGTCAGGATACAGGTGAGCTGGGGCAAAGTACACTCACCATTTGGCAGAGCTGGTTTCTCTCAACAGGACGTACATCAGTGACCGACAGTCAGTCTCCCCCGAGCTCTCAGTGGTTGCAGGTGGCCAGCCTGGAGAGATAAGAGAAAACCCCATTATCATCTGACCCCTAAAATTGCCAATATTGGGTGTAGGCTGTTCACCACATTGACTTTTCCAGCCACAGTCCAAAACCCTTCGATTTCAGAGACTACAAACAAGCTTTCCTATAAAGCCTCCTTCAGACAAATAAAAATGATATTTTTTTGTTTTTTTATTATCTCCCAGGATGGCGGTTGTTATGGTGATCTGTTCTGCAAAGCTCTGAAAACATATAATATGCTTTGTTTTGGGATTTACCGGCTGAGAGATGCCCACCTCAGCACCCCTAGTCCGTGCACGAAGAGGTGAGTGTCTGCCCCCTCTTGTACTCTCCCACTCCCAGTGCAGGGACCTAAGTGCTCTCTCCTGTCCCTCATGTACAGCCTCTGGGTATCACAATTGGCACTTAGTTGCTAACCTAAAGGTTGGTGGTTCAAACCCACCCAGTGATGTTGTGGAAGAAACAGCAGGTGATCTGCTTTCATCAAGATTACAGCTAAGAAAACCTCCACAGAGCAGTTTGAATGAACTCGAGGGCAATTGGTTTGAGCCCTTATAAAGGCTGCAGTCTATCAAAATGCTCTCAACATACAGATTCCTCTGTGGTGTCACATATGACGTGGAGAGCAGCCGTTATGGGATGTGCTTCTCAGAAATCACTAATAACTGATGGAAAGACTTAGTGGAAAGAATTAATCTTTGATAGTTGTTGTTGTGAAGTGCTGTTAAGTCGCTTCCGACTCATAGCAACGCTGTATAGGGTTTCCAAGTTGTAGTTGGTGAGCATGAACCGCCAACCTTGCAGTTCAAATGGCTTTGCAGTCTGGCGCACTAACCCACAGCGCCACGCCAGGACTCCATCTTTGATAGTGGTGGTGGCTGTGTGCCGTGGAGTCGGTTCTGACTCATAGCGACCCTGCACAGGGTTTCCGAGGGTATAAATCTTTACGGGAGCAGAAAGCCTCATCTTTTCCCCATAGAAAAGCTGGTAGTTTTGAACTGCTGACCTTGAGGTTCGCAGCCTGATGCGTAACCACTCCTGTCAAGGCAACCACACTTCCAACCATCTTGTTGTTGTTAAGTATCGTTGAGTTGGTTCCAACTCATATCAACCTTGTATAGAGTTTTTGAGGAGTGACTAGTGGGTTTGAATCACCAGCCTTGCAATTCAAGCTGACCTACAAAACTCACAGTAAGGGAGAGTTCATTATGACTGACCAAATACATCAGGCTAATTTTTAAGTTGATCATTTTGCATGGCCTGCACATAATGTTATAAATTTTGGCAGGAAAAAAGATTTTCCACTCCTGTTTTATATGGTAGTATCATCAGGCAGCAGTTCAAATCCATCAGCCACTCCTCGGATCCCTATGCAGGGTTGCTATGAGTCAGAATCGACTCCGTGGCACTTAATGACATCAACAATCCTCACTCAGTAAGAATATTCACAATACAAGCATCTCCGTCAAACTCCATCAACCGCTACAACCTCGTTAGGTACCTGAAACAGAGTGGTTTCACATCACTAAACAAGTTCCTTGGTCATAGCGTAGAACCCTATCTCTTTACTTCCCTTTTTTAATTGGCTCACAACTTTTATACATTTGTTTCTAAAGAAATTTGGTATAATCACCTGAGACAGAAAAATAGCAATTTAGTGTACTATTGATACTGTTTTGTAATATGCATTAGAATAAATTCACAGCATATACAAATTAAAAGTATATCCTGGAATGACCAAAATCAATGACTTTGCATAAAGCCCCACTGGAAACAACGCTGTAGATGACTGTTTCTAAGCCCTGCTTGCATCCCGCATATTAGAATCACCCATGGAGCTGTTAAAAAATAACCTGATTTAACACAGCTGGGGTGTGCATACATTTTTGTATTTAATGTATCATGGAAAGATTCCATTTTTCCACAAAATTTCTGAAGCCCCCTTGCCCAGAGATTACAGTCAACAGCCAGAGTTGCTATGGACCAGCAGACTCTCAAAATTCGGCTGCATTAGAAACACCTAGAGAGCTTGTTAAACTCCAGATGGGTGGGGACCAGAGGACTGACATTTTTTAAAAGAAGTCCCAGGTGGGTACTGATGCGTCTGGCTTCAGACCACACTTTGAGCCCCACTGCTGTAGATGAAGCATATAGTGGTTTTGCGTTCAGTCATTATTTGCTGTGAGAGTCTGGTCCGATTGAGGAGAGCAATAAACCAAGGCTGAGAAGTAGGTAGAGAGGCGTTTTTTATCCTTACATTCAGTTAAGTTCCCACCCAAATTGATTCTTGTTAAAGAGTGAGGAAGTCTGCAGAAGAAACAAAGTTGTCCACATATGTCATGTCTGGGTTCTTAAGAAAATTCTAGAGTGAAAGTTACAGCTCAGTCCATGTAACCCCATGACAGCTCAAGTTCAGACGTGAACTTGATGTTGTAAGCAAACGTGAGCATAGATCATTGTTGTTGTTGTTGAGTGCCATCAAGTGGGTTCCACCTCAGGGAGACTGATGGGTTTGAACCAGGAACCTTGCGGTTAGCAATCCAGTACTGATCCTATGGTGCCATACCCAGACTTCACATTTTTATTTCATTTTCCATTCCTGGCAACTAATTTCGTAGCTCAGCAATGACACGGCTGAGCGCCTCAATTCAGCTTTGGTTAGCCTCGGATCTGCTGCAAGTTCATCTTGCACTTCTTTTTGTCTCACTGAGAGAGTTGAACCCTCTCACCCCACCCCTAGTTGTCTGTAACTTCTTTCCTTTTCTGTCTAGGTATGTCATCACCAATCCCCCATATGAGTTTGAGCTCGTGCCTACGGACCTCATCTTCTGCTTAATGCAGTTTGACCACAACGCCGGCCAGTCCCGAGCCAGCCTCTCCCATTCCTCCCATTCGTCCCAGTCCTCTAGCAAGAAGAGCTCCTCTGTTCATTCCATCCCATCCACAGCAAACCGACCGAACCGCCCCAAGTCCAGGGAGTCCCGGGACAAACAGAAGTACGTGCAGGAAGAGCGGCTTTGATTTGTGTACCCACTGCCACTGTGTGTGAAACTGTATCTGCCACTCATTTCCCCAGTTGGTGTTCCTAACAGTAACTCTCCCTGTTTCCCCTGTAGTTTTCTCTCCCCATTTTTTTTGTTTTTAACACATATTTTGCATGTCGGGTGTCGGTTTTCTTTCACCACCATAAAACCCTTGAGCACAACAGCAAACAAGTAGATGGACCAAAAATTATTTATGATTCTAGAGGGGAAAAAGACCCCACGGGCACGCTCCAGACAGAAAGAGCTCACGGCAGGAATTAGTTCAAGGATCAGAAAGGAGAACTGTGATGAATGGTGGCTACACCAACTGAGTTTAACAGAGAAGAACACAGTTGGTTCTGATTTACCAGAATTATCAGCATGCTTTGGGTTTTGATCTTTGTTTTGTTTCCCTTTGTTGTTGTTGTTTTATATACACACAGTAAGTTAGCACACATTTATTTGAAGCAAGCAACCAAAAAGCAATGAAAACCGATCGATTGTTTCCACTCTCTGGGCTGAACTATTGCCAAGCATTTGAAAGGCTTTCAACGTTTGTGCAGATGATTATCAAACGCCTGCTTGTTGTAAGAGAACAGGAGAGATTTTTCAGTTACTCACCAAGGCCTTTTGTCCCAAAGCTATCTTCCTTTGGGAGTTCATATGAACATTTTTTAACCTTAAAATGAAAGAGAAAAATAGTATTCCATTCATGGAAGTCTCAAATCCTAGTGATCTAATTTAAATGAAAAAAGGTTTGGTTGCATACTAAATTGTTATTCTGTCTCCTTATGATGCCATATGAATAGCTATTTTTTTCTTTTACTTTTGACATTTGGGATGAAAAGCCATATGTATCATAAATATCAGATACGTCATTAAAAAAAAACTGCCTTCCTGGGACATCTTTTAAAAGGTGAATCACTTACCTTATGTACAGAATAAATAATGCTCAGGAAAGAGCAAGTATTTTTGCACGCATCCTCAGGGGACCTTTTTACTCCCCTTTGTCTAGTTCGCCAGGGCCCCATGCCAGTTAGGAGCAGGGACTGGGACAATGGTAGTACGAGGAGAAAAAGATAAAACCATCAACAGATCTTTTCTTAAAAGCCAACGTGCTAAATCAATCCAAACATAGGACTACCAAGCCAGAGTTGACTCCAGAAAGATAGAAGCCAGCTACCACCATAAACTACTGGCTCAGCTGTCCCGAGCTGGCTGACCCAAAGTGGAAAGCTGATGGGAGAAATGCTTCATCGCCTGTTTCCTGCACAGGCCAAGTCACCTGAGCAGGTGAATGAAAATCAGACAGAACTGCTCCTTGTTGTTAGGAGGTGAGGGATAAGAAGAAAAGTGGGACAGTGAACCAAACACGTTATGGTATAATATGATTTTTCCCTTTTTCTTTAAACAGTAAATTGAGAGGAAAGGTGAAACAAATGCCCTTTTTTCAATAAAGAGTTGTCAGATTTTTTTTTTTTTTTTGCATGCAAATCATGCTTTAGACTGTTCTGTAATTCTTCAAAATTGGTCAACTCTGCCATCACCAAATTGTGGCATTCATATGGATGGGCTAGCTCTGGGCTGGCATACACGTATTGAAAATGTTTACTTTCACACACTTTATTGACCAGAATAGGGGTAGAGGGGAGGAGAAAGATAGCACAACTGTATCTTCTCTCAAAAGGTGTTTTTATGGTGAATGCTTTGGGTTTAGATTTTGGATTCCCCGTTGCCCCCAAGCATGGTAGTTTTGGAGATTTGCTTGCTGTGTGAATTGACAAGCACTTTTACTGACAAAACGGTGAGGCTGAGTCAGAACCTCCACCCCACCCCTGCACCAAAGACAGGGGCAGTAAGGTATTCAAACCAGTAATGGGGTGAGGAGTACTTGTATACATGTATATTAAAGAACCCAATGAATAGAAGATGTTTTTCAAATTATTTTTCTTCCTATATACTGATTTATATATTACTTATAACTATTTCTATATATATATAACTATATATAAATGTGTGTATATATTTATATATATATTCCCTCATTTGGGATCATGAAGAGCTCTTCATGCATCCTTTGCAAAGGAAGATATAAAGCTATGCCCTCAGAACATTTTTAACGATAAGAATGTGCCAGTTAAAGTGCTCAACAGGAAACTATGACAGTTTACAAGCTGTAAAACTCACATATAGCTTACTTCTCTCTCTAAAGTGCAACAAGGATGAATAGGATGGGCCAAGGTATGATCATTAATGGTTCTGCATGACCTAGCCACTGCTGGGGGTTTTCTTCTATAACGTTGTCCTTGTGAAAACTTTTGTGAAATTAAAAAAGAAAAAAAAAAAAAAAGGAGTTACAAATTCTATTCTGTTATTGGTTTCTTTTTATTTAAATTGTTCCGTTTGTGGTTTTATTTCTTTTGTTTTTTGCTCTTTTTCCTTCCCCTTTTCCCATGCCTATCCCCTTCTTCTCTTCCTCCTTCCATGTCCTAAACTGCTCAGCGCAATGAGGCTGTGTTGCTGCTAAGGCTAGATCCTTTGAAGTTTGTTTTGGTGTTCTTGGGTTTGGGGTTTGGGTAATTTGGGGGAACTTCTATCCATCTGGCTTGCCTTTAAATCTGCACGTGGCCTCCCTGCCCATCTTGGTACCTTGTTCCAAATCCAAAAGCATTTTCCCACTGAGAAACCCAGCTTCCTTCATTTCCCCCCCATTACCACCACCCCAACCCAGCCCCTCCATTAGTCTGTCCACATCTCTGTGTTTATCTTGGCAAGGCTTACTAAATCAAGCAATGAGTCCAGTTGCTATACATTTCTGGAAAACATTTGCAGCTATTCCATTTGGCCAACCTGCTTCTCTCTTAATCTTAATCTATGTTCCTTCTCTGGTTTAAACCAGGAGGATTAGTAATGCCTTAAACATCGGTGTCCTTTTAGTTGGATCAGTATGAGCCAAAGTTAAAACTGTTCAGACGTATGTATATCCACTCAATAGTCCACACCCAGCTTTCTGGGGACTGACGATTTAGCCTCTGTATTCCCCAGGACTCTTCTTTGTCACCTGTATTGCAGACATTTGTCAAATCCCAACCAGAGATTGGGCAGCTAGAAGTAAATTCAAAATGTGTTTCATATACAATTTGTTTCACAGCTCTGGTGAAATGGTGTTGTAAGTGGAATGGAATGGGACCAGTCTATGACATGAAATGGAATTTTGAAATCTTCCCTGGATTTAATTAGGTACACAGTCAATGACAGTTGATGAATAATTGAGAATTGAATAGACTTGAGTAAATATATTCAATGATGGAAAAGGTATCATCACCATGACTAGTGGACTATGCTTCCCTTAACTGAGTGATAAGTCTCTTCGTTTGTTAAAAAATGAGATTCCTGATTAGGAGCTCATCACTGATAGAGGAGGAATACAAGTTGCTAATATTAAGTCTCTTACTCCCCCTTCCACCAACAAATAAGGGTAGAAAGTGAAAGAATTGTTTTGAAAGATAAAAATACAAGCATTTAAAAAGAAGCAGAGTTAGAAATGCAATTATCAGCACTGTTAGAAAAGAAGCAATTTGTAACCCATTCAGTACAATTTACTTTAAGTTTTGAAAGGGTGTAAATGTTCAGTCAGTTAGTAGACCAAGAGGCACAATGAAACTTTCTCTGTCCTTAAATCATCATGAAATCACCCACCTTCCTAACAAGAGTTACACAGGGTTATTTCTGAAGCCAATTCAAATGGATACAAAGAAAGCTGGGTATTTTATACTTAAAGTATAGTTAGAGTTCTAGCATAATTGGGAGAAGTTTTAAACTATGTTGTGAATATTAAAAGATTGTAACCCAGAACCTTACTCACAATAGACGCTCAATATACTTTGGAAATAAAATTTACCTTAAGTAGCTCTATACCTTATATAGTCATTTTATAAATTATCCTTGCCCCCTTGACTTTTTTTTTTTTTTTAAAAAAGACAATGAACACCTCCAGGGTATCACAAAGCTGCCAGGCAGTTGGCACGTTCTGAAGCTTGGATATGCTGCTTCTGAGAAAGAGGAACTGCCAAGTGACCTCCGGAGGCAGAGGATCTGACTGTACCTCTTGCCAGGTTGTTCAGTTCCCTGATGACCAGAAACGCCTTTGTATTGGCTCTTCCTCAGCATGAGAAAAGCCTAGAGGTACCTGCATCCCAATAGAGATAATTAAATCAACCTGCTAGGTTCCTATAGCAACAGACTCCTTGAAGGAGAAATCTGAGAGTACACAAACTTTGGAGCCTGTGAAAGTCAAGACAGGGTACAAATCCACATCTCAATCAACGCCATTCAGCCCACTCCTGTTTTGTCATAACATGATGAGAGTTAGCTGTCACTGAACTGGTTCACTATGTCTCCCAGGCGGAGGCTGCACAGACCAAGAGTGCTTATCCTCTGGCACCCAGAAGGGAAAAGTGAAGAAGCTGCCCTCTGGCTGGCTGGACTCAGGGTCACAGAGAAGGGTTTGGAGAGGGCAGTTTGCTCTGTCCAGCAAACCACAGCATTAGACTGTCGGTGAAAACAGACAGATAGATTCATGGGTGAAAACTGCAAAGGAATGAGACAGTTTTCATCAATGGAAACTGCTCCAGCTTGGGTACCAATTATTTTCATCTCTATAAAGTAGCCACACTTAGCCCATGCTGAGAAAAGGATGTTTTGTGTATGGATGGGGGCACTGGGGTTTAGCATGCCGAGGAAGAGCACAAGACCATCTACTAGAAATGTGAAGTGGAAATCTATGCCGCTCTATCTTTGAAGGCTTGAGCTCTTTGTTCACCCTTACTGTTCTCACCTGCTATCTTTATCCAACTGGGATCTTTCTCTTCTAGCTTTCCCCGGTGTGTGGTGCAGTAAGAAGGCGGCCAATTATTCCAAGTGCCTTTGCTTTCCCTTTCTGCACTCATCTCTGGGGAGTAGTTACATGAAAAAGGCTAAATCCCACAGTACTGACAACCCACAGAGCCAGCAAAGAGACTTGATTCTCTTAGCACAGCTTGCTTCTCCCTCTGCTTGTTGGGTGTCCAGGTGACTAAGGCAGCCCTCAAAGAGCTCTGGCACTTGGATTGGCCACACCATCTCAGTGATGAAGCTAGTGACACCTCAGGTGGGAAAGGGTGCCTTTCACATGAAGCGTCAGCATTTGAGAGACCCACGGGGCCATGGGAGGGTGGCAGCCTTGAAGTCTCCAGACCTGACATCAGGTCACCTCTTTTTCTCATTTACTGCCCCCCACGAGGACTATCCAGCCAAATCCTCCTCTGTCAACGCTACCATCATGACCCACATTGTTCAGGTCACTACTCCAGCCATATTCTCCAGCCCTGCTGAAGGGCATCATTTGCAATCACACCTGAAAAGTGCCATCCAACTTTATCCGAGTCCTTTTGTATCTGTAGTGCTAACCAGTCCTGGTGTGGCGCAGTGGGATAAGCACTGGACTACAAGGTTGGTGGTTGAAACTCATCAGCCGCTCATTGAAAACCCTGTACAGGGCTGCTATGAGTCGGAAATGACAACCCACTGACAACCCAGAGAACACTTAACAAAGGCACTTAACAACAACAACCGATACTAAAAGGTTAAGATGGAATAGGAAGATCTAGTAATCTAATTCAGAGAATCAGCCAATGAAAACCCAATGAATTACAGAAGTCTAATCCACAGTCATTGGGATACGGCAGTGTTAAATTGTTGCAGTGTACGTGGGGTTGCTGAGCTGGGGATGGAGTTGGTGGTAACTAAGAACTATAATGCTTTCCTGAAACTTCAGCGCTTACAATGAGCCACTCTTGTACGCACGTGACATACCATGCTAATCTATTTAATCCTCATGGGACTAGAGATAGATGCTGTTATTTTTTGTTGTTAAATACCATCAAGTCGGTTCTGACCCAGAGCAACCCTGTATAGGGTTTCTGAGGAGCAGCTGTTGAGTTTGAACCCCCGACCTTGCAGTTCAAACCGACCTTACAGTCCTGAAGCTGTTAAAAAGATGAATAATCTAAGATACAAATTTGTTCAAAATCACATAGGCAGAAAGTGACCAAGTGGCACTTTAAACTCAAGTCTATAAATGTGGCCACCAGGGTTCCATTACTGATCCTATAATGACTAACAGCTCACACTGACTTACCATGCACCTGTGGGAAGGGACAGATGTGCCTAGGCTCCCTTTTCCCTAGCAACAATATGAAGGAAAGTTCTACCAAATAGCTCCACTCTTCATAGAAGAGTTGTTGACTCATAGCTACCCTATTAGGCTTTCCAAGGGGTTGCTAGGGAGTCTGAACCACCGACCTTGTGCTTTAAGCCAATCTTGTGGTCCAGTGCTTTATCCTACAGCACCACAACCAGGATTCTTAGTAGAAAAATTAAGATAAATTAAGTAAAGATGTGAGCGAACCAGGCCTGCTTGACTTTAAACTACTACCCCGGACCATTTCCTTGACCTGCACATCATTGCTTACTCCTGGGGGAGAGTTCAGGACCTCCCTAAGACAGTACCATTCTTCTCCCAGCGTCTTTTAGGAGCACTTTCCCATAGTTTCTCTTTCCCTATTAGCCCACTTGCCACAGACAATGTGAAATGCCACTCCTTTCCTACCTAACCCCACTAACTGCCTTGTGATAGCAACTTCCCTCAGGTTAGGGTTTGTACCTACAGGGATTCCTCAGGCATTCCACACTCTCAGAGTATATTAAGCAGAGGGGCTATTTTTCTTTGGCAATGTAGAGGCACCGCAGATAGCTTGCCCTTTTAATATTACGGGTGAAAATATCCTGGAATGTATGCTGCCATTTGGATTTGTCCTTTAACCACTTCAGCAATTATTTGAATTCCTTCTTGGAATCCTCTTCCTTGTGGCCAATTGTGTGGCCCGTTTCTTTGGAGGACAAGATTCAATAAACCAATCAGTCATTGCCATGTTTAGAGTTCTTCCCATGGAAGCCGAACGACTGGCAATTATTAAAATGTGTGTTCCCCGAACTCTGTGTGAAAATCTTTACAGAAAATACCTTTGCCACCAGACACTTTGGAGTAAAATGCTCATAGCATTAGTATCTTACCATTTCCCCAACATCTTATTTAACCAAGTCTGCAACAACAAATACATTTATATCTTACACGGCACCAGAATTAGACAGCTGTTTCCCAGGCATAAAAAAACCCCAACTTCTCACTAAGATATGCTTTAACCTAACTCTCTCCAGAGTTAAAGCTTCATGACCAAAACACAGAAGTTCCTCTGCTTAGGTTTTTGTTTTTTATTACAGGAAATTTTAAAGGAAAGAGAGGAGCTTAAATGAGAATAATTTT